AGGGTGAGAGAGGATGTTTTTGCCTGTGTCTGTGTTTCAGGGTCAACTATTTAATGTCATTTTCAGAAGATAGTCATTGAACTTTCAGCTACAACTGGTTACATTTAGAATTAAACCCTACTTAAAGAGCAAGTCACCTCTTACCAGTCGTACTCCTCTCCTACTTCCTGTTTGAAAAATGCAATAAATTATGTTGCCTGGCAGAAATAACAAGTACACACGCACGCACGCACGCACGCATGCACGCACGCACACACACACACACACACACACACACACATACACACACACACACACACACACACACACACACACACACACACACACACACACACACACACAGGCTCACAGCGGCATTGTGACATCAAAATGTACCAGCTAACATCATGGGGTACCTTTGAGCCAATAGCAATGGTAGATTTAAATTCAAATGCAGTGTTTTTATCTGAAGATGGTACGACACTGACAGTTTTAGGCAAAATATTTAAATTTTAATTAAACTGCACTAAAGTACCAAATTATTGACTGTATGGTCTACAGCATGATTAGACACTCATGAAGTTTATCAGCAAAAAAACATTTTGGGGGTGACTTGCTCTTTAACATTAGCAAACACAAAATGTCCCTATCTATTTTTTACAAACACTTTGCCACAATTTGCTGTATTAATAGTTGAGTGGCATTCACAACACATAGCTGGTTTAGTGTCTGGTCTCGTAACATTAAGTGATTATGAGTGTGTGCATTAAGTAAAATTTTATATTTGACTAACTACATTTTTTTCCGTGTCCTGTCTGGCTGTGAAGCAAACAGAATTAATATCTGAATGCTGGTAACAAGCCTTACAGATTTACTCTCAGGTGGAGCATCAAAGCTTCTGCTTTTAATGTCACGCCTGATACTTAAAACTTTCTTGTTATTGTTTTTTTAATGCTTTGTAATTTCGACCTGACACGGAGACAGAGGTGAAAAAGAAAGGAAGAGACAAAAGGTGTGTGTGTGTGTGTGTGTGTGTGTGTGTGTGTGTGTGTGTGTGTGTGTGTGTGTGTGTGTGTGTGTGTGTGTGTGATGAACAAGAGTCTGCTTCTAGACCTGCAGAAAAGGAACACACAACAATACAACAGGAGCAAGCTATCACTGCGTCAACTTGATGAAGAAATGTAAAATCAACATTGTTTAATTGAACATCCACACGATAATAAATCACAGTGCATTGAGGGCCAACCATAGCCTTAAGACATGTGTTGAACGTGCCCAAGTCTATACTTATGAGAGCACCATGTGAGCACCTGTGTGTGTACACGCGTTTGTTTATGTAAGGTTTCTCTATGGGAGCATCCAATAGAGAGTGTGAGGGGCCACAGATCTGCCCCCCAAAGATGTGTAGGAGACGGAGGAAGCTCCAAGTCCCAGAGATACAGGAGCTGCCCCAGAGCACAGGGACCCCAAGGAGACCACGACCAGAAAAGCCCCTGCCCCCCTTGAGAGGTGCAGAGGATTGCCCCGGCAGGCCCGCCCGCAGCCTCTCACCCCCCAGCCGGCCAAGCCCGGGACCCAGCAACCCGGGACCCAGGGGCGACCACCCCCATCGGGGACCCAGCTGAGCCCAGGGACCCAGACCCCACCAGGCAGCCACCGGGATTGATCAGGCAGATGCCAAAAATCTTAAACCCCCTGACGTAGGAGCCTCAAACACTCAGGCAGACCAAGGCACCACACTCCACACCAGGTGTGGCAGAGGGAGGGGAGACGAAGATGTATAGCATCAAAAGAAGTCCCAGGAGAAGGGAGGAGTCAAAGGCCCCACCTGACATATACAGTCATACACAAACACAGTCACACATTCCCTCCCTCATGCTCACACATGCACATACAACCCAAGACTTACAAAAATGCACGCCGGACCCCCACTCATGCTCCCCATACACACCCTATTCACTCTGGTCCTGGTGCTGCTGCACATGGGGTACAATCATTACCGGTTCCCAGAGTTCGATCCTTTCTGCTGGGGTGCTGATGAGCAGGGTACCCCGCACAACACTGAGCAAAGCAACCCACCACCCCAACCAGACAGCCAGATCGCCCTCCTAGCCTCCAGCCCCAGGAAGCCAAGCGACAACAGAGGTGTGCTAAGACCCCTAGTCTTCCTCGGCCTGCTCCAATACGGTGTTAGTGAGTGTTGATGAGGTGTATTCCGTGGCTGTGGTGAGCGGGCAGTGCGGGCATCGTCTGGGCTATGCCAGCTAATGCCACCACACCACCCCACTTGCACCCACAGCCTTCAGTGTCTCAGTGCAGGTTAAAATTGGAAGTGGGCACTGGCACTCGGAATGAGGCTGAAAAAAATACCCCTGCCAAATGCCGTCTAATGTGCTCACTCCCAAGGCCCTAAGTGTGTGTTTGCGTGGAATGTCGTTGGTGGAAGTGTTTAAGGTGCAAATAAAATTGGGGGGCAGGTTACCACAGGACTGCGGAAATGGGGTCCATACTCGCACCACCT